CCCAACCCCTGTGCTGAAATGGACGGGACAGAAGCAGAAGTTCGTTCTTAAAGAGGCAGAGGCCAATTTCAAGGAGTTTAGAAGAGGAAGTGATGATAAAACAAGTTTATTTTATATTTAAACATAAAAACAGCATTTTAATAACAACTAAAGGTGACATAGATACTTTATTATGGTATAGTATTTAAATACACGCCTGAGAAACATGTAATATTGCCCGTTTGATACAAGTCAGATCACAGGTTTGAAAACAACTAAAATAAAAATCAGAACTTGCGCCTACCTGCTGTTGTCCTGTCGAAGAATGTGCTTGACAGCCTGTGCCAGGGTGAAAGTCTTGCCGGTACCGTAGGGCCCAATGAGGAGGATTGGGGGCAGGTGGACAGAAACTGGTGTGGTGATGGCCAGGACGGCTTCTTTCTGCTTGGCATTTAGACGGGGATCCAGCTGCTCATCCCACTGCCTGAGTGAACAGGATATATGAAGGCAGTGTCAAAAGAGAAGATGAATATTTAATTAAGAATTGTGTGCCATAGTAACTACTTTTAACACAGAAAAAACACTGCCTTTCTTAGAGTATGACACACGTCGGACAGTCTCTCGGTCTAATTGACTTCAATGAGACAGAAGCAAAAATTAAAACGTTTGGAAAACTTGTTACACCTAATGATAGCAAATAACGCACAGAGGGAAATGCAAAAGAAACTGGTGAATCAAATAGAAATAAAAAAGATGTGAGAATAGAGGAAGAGGGTGAAAAGGGAAAGAAAAGGTTGGAGGACAAAGCGGGTAAGAAATCATCCTGGTGATTCACTAAGCACATGTATTTTTTCCATAGCTTGTTAAATCAGAAATGTGCTAAAAATATCTGACTCTAGAAATGCTGCGAGTCCTCAAAGCTGCTCATGTTGTTCTATCCCTGCATTATGCACATATTTGCAGTTGTGACCTGTACATAGGTGAATAAGTTGAACAGGATGTTGTGCCTGCTGATCTGGTCAGAAAACTGAGTGCATTTATTGTACCGTTAATCGACAAGAAACTGACACCTTACCAACATTGTAATAAACACTGGCACATACATATCATGAAATAAAACGGTACACAAAAAATAATTACACAGGGGCAGATGTATGTAGAAAACAGATGAGTATGTGATCATTTGCACATACTTGTGCATCAGTGAGTCATTGCACATATATCTGTCTCCAAGCATCACTGTCCTCATTATGAAGTCTGCATCCTCTGAAGCTGTGAATCCACCAACACCAATTGATTGAACTCCAACTGAGACATGGTAGGGGGGGGATTTCTCTAAGTGTGTGTGTGTGTGTGTG